ATGTACAAAGTCAGTGCTTCTTGCGCAAATACTTTGACGCTCCCGCTCAGGGATAAGCCCTCTTGCGCAAATATTCTTGTGCAAGAGGCCAGTGTAGACAGGCAATGTTAATTTCTTGCGCAAGAAAGCCCGATGGCTAAAATGGGCATCGGAGCTTTCTTGTGCAAGAGAGCATCTACACTGGCACGGATGCTTTTGCGCAAAAGCAAATCTTTTGCGCAAAGGCACATGCCAGTCTAGACGCTCTCTTGCGCAAATACTTTTAACAGAAAACTTTTCTGTTAAAAGTATTTGTGCAAAATCATGCCAGTGTAGACGCAGCCCTTCTCTTCTTTTCATCTCTTGGCCAGAAACACTTAGTTTACAGTTTTGAGGGTTGCACTTTTTCTTCTAATCTATAGTGATTCTGATACATGATACAGTGAAAATTTTACTATAGTTTGTTACCAGCTTCATATCCAGAGTCATGTCCATAATTCAAAGATCCTCAAAACAATAACCTCACTGTAGCAACTGAAACTAATGTCTAACTTTATCTTCAAGATCTCTCCTTTTACTGCTCTAACCTATCCCTAGGTTTTACTATGTTTTTCCTTTATACTTTTTACTCATCTTTTTTTTCTCCTTCACTGTTTTCCCTAGCTAACAAATCTTCTTCAGCGAACATTTGCACAACTCATTAATCCATTCAATCCAAGATCAAGGTGAAGCATAATTTACTAATGACTTTAATATGTTACTAATTATTCGAAATAGCAGAAACAGTATATAAGCTCTGAGGCCAACTCAGCTTTTCTTCCAAACACTTTAATATTGCCCTCTCAAAAATCTATGTAGCTCAAGCAGAAGAATACAAATTCAGCTGTATCTTATGCTGTAGAGCTTAAAAGAATGAATCACAAGTGATAAACTTGTAGCAAAGAGTAGTATTAAACCCATATTTTTAAAACCATTAAAAGTAACTCTTTTTTTCTACCTCAGAGATATGTAATGAAAGAGAAAACATGTTTCTGTGCACTACTTTTTTTACCATGGGCAAAAGACAGAGAGGAAGAATTTAGTGCTTTGGAAAGCTCATGTTAAATAGCCTTGGAGACTGAATTTCTTGTTCATCCAGAGGCTAGATAAACCCTGGATAGGAGTGTGTAAGATTTTTATCTCCTGTCCTACTAATGTGTCTCAACTTTCACCCTAGGTCAGGTTTATCCTCTATGTCCATTCAAATTATGATCTCTCCTGACAACGGAACGTGACCTAGTACAGAGGAAGGAGGAGATAGAAACTAGAGCAGTAAGCAGAGAGTTAGGGGACCTGGATTGCATTCTTAATTCTGTCACTAATACTCATCATGTGACCTGGGGCAAATCAAAAATTTCGTTTCTCAGTTTCCCTATTTGTAAAAGGGGGGATAATGTTCACCAATGTTGTTAAGTGCTTATAGATAACAGAATGAAAGGTACTATTCAAACTCAAAAGTATTATCAGCAGAAGTTTATGGTTATGGTTTGTGTGATACCTGCCATCGAAGACCTGAACAGGTCATCTCACATAGATGACCATTACATGCTGTCAACATGGTGGGGGGGATGTAACTGGACACCCAAAAGGCACATGTTTCTAAAGCTCACCGCTAATACCATAGGCCAGGAGCAGCCAAACTGTGGCTCAGGAGCCATCTGTGACTCTTTTACCCTTAAAGTGCTACTTGTGGAGACCCCACACCTCCTCCCAGTCTCTATCTTATAGACGGTGGGGGGAGGGGCAGCTCTGGGCCCTCTGCCTTGCAGTGGGGTTGTGAGGTGGGAGATTCTGCCCAGTGGGAATGGAGGTGTTGGGGCTTCAGCCCTGCAGAGCAAATCTGCCACAGCTTGGGGCTTCAGCAGGGGGGGGGGCTAAGCT